TCCGATAAAGGGTTGACATCCAAAATATATAAAGAGCTCATGCACCTCCACAAACAAAAAGCAAATAATCCAATTAAAAAATGGGCAGAGGAGCTGAACAGACAGTTCTCCAAAGAAGAAATTCAGATGGCCAACAGACACATGAAAAGATGCTCCACATCACTAGTTATCAGAGAAATGCAAATTAAAACCACAATGAGATATCACCTCACACCAGCAAGGATGGCTACCATCCAAGACAAACAACAACAAATGTTGGCGAGGTTGTGGAGAAAGGGGAACCCTCCTACACTGCTGGTGGGAATGTAAATTAGTTCAACCATCGTGGAAAGCAGTATGGAGGTTCCTCAAAATGCTCAAAATAGACTTACCATTTGACCCAGGAATTCCACTTTTAGGAATTTACCCTAAGAATGCAGCAGCCCAGTTAGAAAAAGACAGATGCACCCCTGTGTTTATCGCAGCCGTATTTATAATAAGCCAAGAAATGGAAGCAACCTAAGTGTCCATCATTGATAGATGAATGGATAAAGAAGATGTGGTGCATATACACAATGGAGTATTATTCAGCTATAAGAAGAAAACAAATCCTACCATTTGCAACAGCATGGATGGAGCTAGACAGTATTATGCTCAGTGAAATAAGCCAGGCAGAGAAAGAGAAATACCAAATGATTTCACTCATATGTGGAGTATAAGAACAAAGAAAAACTGAAGGAGCAAAACAGCAGCAGAATCACAGAACCCAAGAATGGACTAACAGTTACCAAAAGGAAAGGGACTGGGGAGAATGGAAGGGAAGGGAGGGATAAGAGTGGGGAAAAAGGAAGGGGGTATTACAATTAGCATGTATAATATGTGGCAGTGGGCATGGGGAGGGCTGTGCAACACAGAGAAGACAAGTAGTGATTTTACAACATCTTACTATGCTTATGGACAGTGACTATAATTAGGTTTGTGGGGGGAACTTGGTAAAGGGGAGACTCTAGTAAACATAATGTTCTTCATGTAATTGTAGATTAACGATAACAAAATAAAATAAAATAAAATAAATTACAAAAAGTGATTCCTACTTTTCAAAGCCACAAAATGACCCCCTACCTTAAGAAATCCACCCAGGTCTTTTCATTCCCTTAAGATTATATACATCTTGAATTAGGATACCTTGCTCTAGGCCAGGAGTCAGCAAAACCACTCACAGCCTGTTTTGTAAATAAAGTATTAGTGGAACACACCATGCCAATTTATTTATACATATCTATGGCTGCTTTTTAGTATTTGTGACAGAGACCATATGACCCATGAAGCCTAAAAAACTACTAATCCAGTTCTTCAGTCTTCTCAGTAGCAGTATTACTGGGCTCTGAGAAAAAGAAACAATAAAGATGGTATATATTTTGAATGTTAATTTCCTGGAAGACGTGCAGAAAAAGTTACAGGCACTCAGGCCAAAGCTTCCCAGAGTCTCCTCCCAGCGATGTAAGTCAAGGAGTGCCTCATTCCTGCAGAAATGAGTTCTGACAGCATGTCTGAAATGTTCTCTCCCAGCAAAGCTCATTCTAGACTCACTGCCCAGGGATTTTACTGGGGGCTGGTCACATAGGCACACCCCACATAGCACCCACGAAAATTTCAGACTTCCAGATGGAAAGCAGGTGCTCAGTATAAGCAACATTGTTTACATCAACACTTCGACACAGTGAGCCCTTTTATCTGCCAGGATGGTGGGAACCCTCCTGAAATCCAGCCAAGCGCCAACCTTACAAGCCCGGCTCTCTAAGGACAGCTTCACAAGCCAGCTATATTAACTCTTTTACACACCCACTCACTGACAAAGACTGTAAATTGAAGTATCATGAGTAAAAAAGATAACTTACCACATCTACCAAGTTCATAGCTGTCTGAAGAAGATAGCATTGAGCTGCTCCTCTCAGTAGTATCTGATGTGTGATCATAGTAGACTGAAGAACATCTCTGACATCAAAAAACAAAAACTGTATTTCCATGCTCCCAAACACAATTCTAATAATTTGTAATTACTGACAAGTTAATTTATAATATCTACAATTTTGAATGCAGAAAGTCACTGTCAGAATTTCAAAGCTATTACTTTCCATTAAGGTATCTAGTAGAGTTATTTTTAATATGAAACAAATCTCTTTTGAAAATAAGACTATAAGTGAAGATACATTTAAAGTAAGAATTTTACCTTTTTTGAAATACTGTGTCATCAATATTACTGTCTGATATTTTATCTCTAGCTTTCTATATACCGATGTGTTAAAAAAAACTTATTTGCCTTATTTTAAAGTGATCAAAATCCAATAGCACATATTATGGCACATAAATTAGTAATTCAATAAGTTCAACTGTATGAATAATAGATCTTCTTACTTTTTCCTTCTATAAAATTAAGAGCTCAAAAATCCCAATGCCAATATTAACTAAAACCACTCACTATAGATTAAAACAGAGGGGAAAACAAAATTTACTGGTGGAAAGCTATGGCAGATAACCATATGTGAACATACAGAGTAAATTAGTAAATTACCTGAGAGCAAAAAGCCCTTCTACATCCAAGGCTTTACATCTTGGGACATGTGCCAAAGCCTTAGATAGAAACAAAATAGGAACAGCACACCAATGTCTACTTGTCATCTTCTGAATAAAACTTAACAGGAAACTATCTAAAAGAACAAGTTTTAAAATATCATTGCTACAAATAAGCACACGGGAAGATACTCAACATCAGTAATTATTAGGTATGGAAATGCAAATAAAAACTATAATGACATATAACTTCATACCCACTAGGATGGCTATAATCAGAAGAACAGAAAATAACAAGCATTGACAAGGATGTGGAGAAACTGGAGTTCTCATGCTCTGCTGGTGGGAATGTAAAATGGTGCAGCAAGTGTGAAAAAGTTTGGCAGCTCCTCAAAAAGTTATACAGTTATCATATGACCCAACAATTCTACTCTTAGATACATACTCAAGAGAACTGAAAGCATGTGTTCATACAAAAACTTGTACATTAATATTGACAGCAGCATTATTCATAATAGTCAAAAGTATAAACAATCCAGATGTCTACCAGTTGATGAGGTGATAAATAAAATGTGAAATATCTATAGAGTATTATTCAGCCACAAAAGGGAAATAAATATTGATACATGTTACAAAATGGATGAATCTTAAAAACATGATCCTAAGTGAAAGAAGCCAGACATAAAAGGCCAGCCATTATATAATTTATATGAAATGTCGAGAACTGGCAAATCTATGAAGACAAAAAGGGGATTAGTGGCTGACAGTACCTAGAGGGAAGGGAGAATGAGAAGTAATTGCTAATGGGCATTGAGTTTCTTTTGGGGGGTGATGAAAATATTCTGAAATTAGTGGTGATGTTTGTACAACTCTATGAATATCCTAAAATCACTGAGTTAAACATTTTAAAAGGGCAAATTTGATTGTATATGAATTATATCTTAATAAAACTGTTGGAATAAAATCAATGTTATTCCAATTTCATTCCTATTTAATAACATAAATGTCTACTATACCGTAGAGAGTCTGATAACTGTGCAGCTATAAAAAAAATTTCAGGTGAAAGATAAATTTCTTACTGTTAGAAACCATTCTTCTGTTGTAGATGTTAAAGAAAAACAGAAAGAAATACCTGGCCTCTGGTATCTGCTTACAATAACATTAGATCTTCTGAATAAAACTTAACAGCAAACTATCTAAAAGAACAAGTTTTAAAATATCATTGCTACAAATAAGCACATGGAAATCACTTTTTATTTTTCTATATTAAGATACAAAGGAATGTGCTCCATTCTGCCTTCTCTGCTAACATGTGATTTCTTAAGGACCCTCAAGTCATGCAGTTAGTGAAAACGTCTGTTTCCTCAGATCATTACTGTAGAGTGACTTTAAAGAAATCCTTGGACACTCCTACATAGCATGAAACTAGATATATTTAAGAGACTCACTGGAAATTGTTGACTGAAAGAACTTACAAGTAAAAACTGTGAATCAACATTTTACTTGCCCTTTGCTCTGAACTAGTTAAGTTCCCATCTTTTCGCCTAACACCTCACTCAGGACACAAGGAAGATGGTGTTACCCAAGCTTTTGTTTCAAATTCATTTAACACATTCACATGTGTTTACTGTGTGCCTGGCACTGGCCAAACTCTAGGGGGCTCTGACCTCTACACCCCACTCCCTGTACTACTGATGAAAGATGTGCCAGCACGGTCAGCAAATTAATCCCCACACTTCCAAGTTCTAGCTCTGAGAGTTATCTTCTTAAAGAATGGCTCTGAGAGCCCGGCGGGAGGAGAGGAGTCCAAACGGGAGGGAGAAGGAGCCCAGGACTGCTGAACACCCAGCCCCAGCCATCCAGACCAGAGCGCAGACACAGTACATGCGCGGGCCCTGGATACTAGGGAAACAGGGTAGCAGGACCGGTGAGCGGGTACTGGAGGCCGGCGCCGGAGGACAAAAGAAAAGCAAGCGGCCTTTTTTGTTGTTGTTTTGTTTGGGTGAGCGAGCGCTTTTTGGAAGTCTTAAAGGGATAGGGACCCCAATACTAGGGAAACAGGGCAGCACGTCCGGTGAGCAGGTGCCCGAGGCTGGCGCTGGAGAATAAAGAAAAACGAGCGGCCATTTTTTTTTTTGTGGTCGTTGCTTTGTTTTGGCAGGTGCTTTTTGGAAGTCTTAAAGGGGCAGGGCGGGACACTTAGTCCAGAGGTAGGGAATCCAGAGATCTCTGGGCACTCTAATCCCCTGGGCTGCAGGGAGCACGGAGGCCCCTTACAGAGATAAATAGCCTCCCGGCCACTCCCCCTCCAACGCAACTCCACCACTTGGGAGCAGCAGCCTGAGCCAGGCCACGCCCACAGCAGCAGCGGAGATAAACTCCATAGCCAACCGGCAGGAAGCAGAAGCCCTGTCTGCACGCAGCTACCCAGCACAAGCCACTAGAGGTCGCTATTCTCCCAGGAGAGGAAGGCCACAAACCAACAAGAAGGGAAGTTCCTCCAGCCGTCACTCCTCCCAGCTCTGCAAACTATTCCTATCACCATGAAAAGACAAAATTACAGGCAAACCAAGATCAGAGAGACACCAGAGAAGGAGACAGACCTAACCAGTCTTCCTGAAAAAGAATTCAAAATAAAAATCATAAACATGCTGACAGAGATGCAGAGAAATACACAAGAGAAATGGGATGAAGTCCGCAGGGAGATCACAGATGCCAGAAAGGAGATTATAGAAATGAAACAAACTCTGGAAGGATTTATAAGCATAATGGATAAGATGCAAGAGGCCATTGATGGAATAGAAACCAGAGAACAGGAACGCATAGCAGCTGATACAGAGATAAAAGGATCTCCAGGAATGAAACAATATTAAGAGAACTGTGTGGCCAATCCAAAAGGAACAACATCCATATTATAGAGGTACCAGAAGGAGAAGAGAGAGGAAAAGGGACGGAAAGTATCTTGGAAGAAATAATTGCTGAAAACTTCCCCAAACTGGGGGAGAAAATAATCGAACAGACCACAGAAATACACAGAACCCCTAACGGAAAGGATCCAAGGAGGACAACACCAAGACACAAAATAATTAAAATGGCAAAGATCAAGGACAAGGAAAGAGTTTTAAAGGCAGCTGGAGACAAAAAGGTTACCTATAAAGGAAAACCCATCAGGCTAACATCAGACTTCTTGACAGAAACCCTACAGGCCAGAAGAGAATGGCATGATATATTTAATGCAATGAAACAGAAGGGCCTTGAACCAAGGATACTGTATCCAGCACAACTATCATTTAAATATGATGGTGGGATTAAACAATTCCCAGACAAGTAAAAGCTGAGGGAATTTGCTTCCCACAAACCACCTCTACAGGGCATCCTACAGGGACTGCTCTAGATGGGAGCACCCCTAAAAAGAGCACAGAACAAAACACACAACATATGAAGAATGGAGGAGGAGGAATAAGAAGGGAGAGAAGAAAAGACTCTCCAGACAGTGTATATAACAGCTCAATAAGCGAGCTAAGTTAGGCAGTAAGATACTAAAGAAGCTAACCTTGAACCTTTGGTAACCACGAATCTAAAGCCTGCAATGGCAATAAGTACATATCTTTCAATAGTCACCCTAAATGTAAATGGACTTAATGCACCAATCAAAAGACATAGAGTAATAGAATGGATAAAAAAGCAAGACCCATCTATATGCTGCTTACAAGAAACTCACCTTAAACCCAAAGATAAGCATAGACTAAAAGTCAAGGGATGGAAAAACATATTTCAGGCAAACAACAGTGAGAAGAAAGCAGGGGTTGCAGTACTAATATCAGACAAAATAGACTTCAAAACAAAGAAAGTAACAAGAGATAAAGAAGGCCACTACATAATGATAAAGGGCTCAGTCCAACAAGAGGATATAACCATTCTAAATATATATGCACCCAATACAGGAGCACCAGCATATGTGAAGCAAATACTAACAGAACTAAAGAGGGAAATAGACTGCAATGCATTCATTGTAGGAGACTTCAACACACCACTCACCCCAAAGGATAGATCCACCGGGCAGAAAATAAGTAAAGACACACAGGCACTGAACAACACACTAGAACAGATGGACCTAATAGACATCTATAGAACTTTACATCCAAAAGCAACAGGATATACATTCTTCTCAAGTGCACATGGAACATTCTCCAGAATAGACCACATACTAGCTCACAAAAAGAGCCTCAGTAAATTCCACAATATTGAAATTCTACCAACCAATTTTTCAGACCACAAAGGTATGAAAGTAGAAATAAATTCTACAAAGAAAACAAAAAGGCTCACAAACACATGGAGGCTTAACAACATGCTACTAAATAATCAATGGATCAATGAACAAATCAAAATAGAGATCAAGGAATATATAGAAACAAATGACAACAACAACACTAAGCCCCAACTTCTGTGGGATGCAGCGAAAGCAGTCTTAAGAGGAAAGTATATAGCAATCCAGGCACACTTGAAGAAGGAAGAACAATCCCAAATGAATAGTCTAACATCACAATTATTAAAACTGGAAAAAGAAGAACAAATGAGGCCTAAAGTCAGCAGAAGGAGGGACATAATAAAGATCAGAGAAGAAATAAACAAAATTGAGAAGAATAAAACAATAGCAAAAATCAACGAAACCAAGAGCTGGTTCTTTGAGAAAATAAACAAAATAGATAAGCCTCTAGCCCAACTTATTAAGAGAAAAAGAGAGTCAACACAAATCAACATAATCAGAAATGAGAATGGAAAAATCACGACAGACTCCACAGAAATACAAAGAATTATTAAAGACTACTATGAAAACCTATATGCCAACAAGCTGGAAAACCTAGAAGAAATGGACAACTTCCTAGAAAAATACAACCTTCCAAGACTGACCAAGGAAGAAACACAAAAGTTAAACAAACCAATTACGAGCAAAGAAATTGAAATGGTAATCAAAAAACTACCCAAGAACAAAGCACCCGGGCCGGACGGATTTACCTTGGAATTCTATCAGACACACAGAGAAGACATAATACCCATTCTCCTTAAAGTTTTCAAAAAATAGAAGAGGTGGGAATACTCCCAAACTCATTCTATGAAGCCAACATCACCCTAATACCAAAACCAGGCAAAGACCCCACCAAAAAAGAAAATTACAGACCAATATCCCTGATGAATGTAGATGCAAAAATACTTAATAAAATATTAGCAAACCGAATTAAAAAAAAAAAAAAAGAATGGCTCTGAGAGTTATCTTCTCCATCAGCTAATTTTTTTTAAGTATTCAAAACAATTTTCTATAAATCTAAAGTTGTGATATACAAACCATCTTTTCCCTTTTTTCCCCTGACTTTTGAATGGATAATACTATTGGCCATCATTTCACCCTATCTGCAGATTAAATACAAAAGAAAAAAATATACATTTCATACCCAGGGTCACTTAAATAAGCCATAAAGCCAGAAGTGAAAAAAGGACTTAGTAAGTGGAGTCAGTCCTTCTGCGGCTCAGCAAACAAAATAACACTGGTTTTACTATTTGTTTACCAATTTACCTCACAGGAGAAATAAACACCCAATCTGAAGAAGTGGGATATTTCTAAAATACAAGGTCTTATATAAAGCAAATATATTTTTCTTTCTTATCTAAGTCAATATCTATAAAGGGAAAACTCTGCCACAGTGGATTTTCTGTCAATGACTTTTTCCTAAACCCAAATTCTCTTTCTTCAGCCTATTTTACAGTTTTGAAATTGAATAGAGACAAACAGAAAAAACAGCAAACTGCAGCTCACATTAGAAAATTACTTCCATGCTATTCATGCTCATATTGATAATATGTTACATACAAAAGCCAAAGTGTGTACTCAGTTACAATGGACACCTGTATAACTCTAACCAAATTTGTATATCCTGGAGAAAGGAAACTATCTTGATAATACTGATTATAATAGTCATAGGATAGTGCTTATAACCAACATACTAAAATTTGTTTTTAATTTTAAAGTTAATGAATTTGAAAAAAAAACAAAACCTCTTTACTGAGACATACTCTTTATTTCTTCTGGAAGAAGAGAAATATAGCTGACTAAAAACTTCTGTAATTTCAATCCCAATGGAGAATCACTTCCTATCAGCTGGCCTGGGGACCTACAAAGGAGGAAAAACAAATATGTAAAATCTATTTACAAATAAGTATACTTATGGACTATGGCCCCAAAATTTTTCAGTAATAAAACAATAAAACAATCAAAACAGCTTCTTTTTCTGACACTATATTATATTTTGTAGTAACATTTTGAAGGTCCTTCTGATTACAAAAACATCAAGATCTAGGAAAATGAACAGGAGTTAGTAATGTAATAGACTAATAAGCAGGCATGGATTTCCTTTTAATGATAGTTTCCCTGACACACATATATAAATCTTGCTAAATAGTAGCATTTTTTTTAAAACCTAAAAATGATCATTATAAATTATATTTTGTTTCCAAAGTACAATGACTTTAAATATTTAGGTATTAAATAAAAGAAATAGTATTCATAGAAACACATATATTAACAATAAATTATTTTGCAAGAGTATAATTGTTAACATCTACTAAACTCACATTTTTTTCTACTATATGCTTCTGCCAGGAACATTTATCTATTAATTGAACATATCAGAGTGCTAGAAAACTGAAGGCATTTCATAATAAACATGTTAGTCAACTCCTTTAGAAAGCACCAGTTTGGTTTTACTGCTCTCCAGCCATGTAACTGTTTCAGAAAACTATTCAATAGTAATGAATTATTTGAAAACGGAAAATAACTGGTAAATCAAGCATTGCTATGCTCTTTTATTAAATAGTACCAAATATTAATATAACTTAGCACAGACTAATTTAACAATTTAAAGAAATTAGCAGTGGAGGGTTTGCTTTTTTCCTGTTTAGAGGTACAACAAACAGAAGACTTGCAAGTATAATTTTATTTAATTAATATTAGGAAAACAACATAAGTTCAAAAGCAGGACAAATTTTTAAGAGACAATTCAAGGGCAAATATAATGCTCAAAAAATGATGCTCAGGCACAATACGAGTAATGGTAGCAAATAGGTACAGCTGACCCTTGAACAACATGGCTTCAAATGCCTGGATTCACTTACACGCAGACTTTTTTCAATAAACGTATTGGAAAAATTTTTGGAGGCTTGTGACAATCTGAAAAAACATCTTTCCTCTAGCTTCCTTTATTGTAAGAATACAGCATATAATACATAACATAAAAATACATGTTAATTGGCTGTTTACATTACCAGTAAGATCAATAGTAGTTAAGCTACAGTATTAAGCAACAGTAGTTAAGCTTTTGGGGAGTTAAGGTTATAAGCAGATTTTCAACCGTGCTGAGGGTCGGTGCCCCAACCCCTGCACTGTTCAAGGGGCAGCTGTAGCATGTTATGATAATGGTAGCCACTGTCAGATAGGCAAAGGGGACTGCCTTGTGGTACTGGACTAGAATTGGATGTTTTGGTGTGATCCCATAGTCTTCATATGGATGGACGGATGGATGGACAGACCCACATACTGAAATAAACAGCAGAGCTAAGAAATACATGTATGCACACACAGGGACAGAGAACAATTACACAGATGTGGTAAAACATCTGGGGCATGAAAGGTAAGTGGAAATTCTTTGTACTAATCTCACCAGTTTTCTGTAAGTCAAAATAAAATGTTTAAAAAAAAAAAGGAAAAAAAAGTTTTAAGTGTTGGTTAGCCCAAATCACTACAATTTTAAAGAGGGCAGAGATCAGGAGTAAGGGGAAGAGTGTAGGCTATGTAGGATGTACTTTCCATAAGCCCAAGAATGGAAGGGCTCAAGGTTAGAAAGAAAACAAGAAAAAAAGGAATAAACTAATAGAAGAAAGCCCCAAAATATAACAAACATAGAAGGAACTTTGCGATAAGAAAAAGTTCAGTGTCTATTAGGCAACATATATATGTACCAAATGCATTAAACAACCTGGCCATATTCCATAAATAGGTTAAATGTATGTAACAAATTCTTATTACTACATTGGTGCTAAATAATGTAATGTTTACCTGCTATATAGAGAGCTCTCTGAAAGTGCATCCATTAATGGTCCAATAATAAACTAAAAAAAAAAAAAAGCAACTGATGTTAAGTTGTAACTGTAACTTTATAAAGTCAGCTTGCCCTAACAGCACATCCTACACAGGCCTGCAGAAGAGCAGCTGCAAGTAAAGCTGATTTCTTATGCTGTAGGTTAATTCAGTGACAGTCTTGGAGGGCACCTTAATTCCACCAGAATAATAAAACAAGTATAGCATTTCACTACCTGATAAAAACTTATGGAATACTAAGAGAGCTCATGTTGGGTTGAGAAGAAAGTGGCCCAAAGAAGAAACATGGTGGAAAATAGATAGTCACAAAGGAAAAACAAAGATACTTGAGAGAAAATTTAAGCACCTATGCCCAAAGATAAAGGGGGGAAAAGGGGAATAAATTCTATCTCCAAAAATATTACTTTAACACTGGTCAAAAAAGCAAGCTTACAGAAATGCAGGAAGGATAGAGAAATGATACATGTCAAAACACTGTAGCATTAATCAGATAATTAGGAACGTGGACTTAGGTTGCCTCTGAATGAAAGGTAAATTACTATCGCTCAGTGGTAATATGACTCATATAATACTATAAGCCTTAAATAACAACTATAGTTCTCAGTCTCTTTGTTTTGTGTGATTTCTGACAAATGAAGTATAGATGCTAATAAAGGTAGCTCAAAAGGCAACCTCTGCTTAACACAGCAGATAACAATGATTCATTGACTCAAAACTGGGGGAAGAGCATCACTAAATAAATAGCAATAAATCAGTGATTTAGAACTATGCAAAGAGCACTACTACCAAGCTTCTAGCCCACAGTTTTCACACTCCTGACTCACGTGTACAATACTGATACCAAAGAACTAGTTGTTCATAGTGCAGGCAGCTCTTCCACAAACCACATTACTACCATTCAGTCTGTCGATAAACTATATTACAAAAGCTTTACCCAAATATGACAGCTAGATTAAGAGAATCAGGACTTGTTGCACTCAAATCTATAAAATATCACTTGCTATTATAGAGCCCCAGTATATTTTCTGAAGATCACATGTAATGCAACAAATGCCTTTACCTCTTACCTTTCAACAAAGGGAGCAAAGGAAAGAAAAGGCTGTCATTACCTCAGAAAACTCTGGTGAAAATGGAAGGGCCTTTGTTTCATACAGCTCCAGAAAATGAAACACACCTTCTTTGTTCAGAATTTTATTTTCACTTTCAAACATTCTTTTATAAATACACATATGCCAGGATGGGTGAAAGAGCCAACATCCTGTGGAAATAAACGACCAAGCGTGTTTACTGAATTAGCAAAATAACTTCAGTATTCAGTATTCCACATTCAAAAAGCTTCATTTAGAATGACTGCAAGTAAACGTTAACAGCTCCTACAGTGTACACAAGTTAAATATTATCCTATGCTCGCAAGTTGGAACTTCAGATTTGGGGTGACTTCAACCAAGTCTTTTCTCACAGTACATCAGCCCATTTTCATACAGAAATCTGAAACTACCACCATTCTGCCTAAAACTCTTGAATGGCTTCTCATACTCTTAGGATAACATCCTAACAAGGTAAGAAGGCATGAATCACGCTACAGCTCTAACCTTATGCGGCCCTCCCACAGCCACCATGCTGAGCCACAATGGTCCAGCTGGTGCTCACCTCAAGCAGCTGTTCCCTCTCAAGGCCTTTGTATACAATGCAGTCTCTGAGCTTCATGTCATTCCTAAGGCAGGCTTTCCCTGACTACTGTAAGGTATGGCCCCACTCACTACGTATGCCATTTCAATCCCATGTTCATTACCATCACAGAACTTATTATCAATACTATGTTTCCATGGAAAACAGCCCCAAAAAATCAAGTGAAAAATAGTACATATGTCTCAAGGTTTTGTCCCCAGGGCTTAGCATATCCTGGACATTAAATATATATTAATATACAAATGAGCATGAAAACAGAATAAATGTGTACCTTAAGAGATGTATTTTTTTTAACTCTTGAAATATCCTTTTAGAAAAAAATATTTGGCATTTTTAACTCATGGTAGTCTATAAATAAATCAATCTATTATTTGTAATTTACACCAAGATGCTTGTTCAATTCTTTGGCAACGGTAATTTTTTAAAAATCTGTCACTGCTATTTGATTTGGTTTCCCAAAGAGCTGTGGGCAAAACGTGGTAATAAGAGAATCATTTTAATAGTAAATGCATAAGTGAAGTCACAACAGGATTCATTTAAATTCTAGCTCCAGGTGGGACTATATATTCTTATGGTCTGTGAAAAATCCCCATGTTATCAGAGAACAACTACAGCAATCAGCTAAATAAAGCTCAATTCCTAAGGGGTCAAACTATTAAAGTTGTAATTATCTAGCGTAGGCACTAAAATCCATTTACCTAGTTTGTCTCATGTGTAAACATGATAATGTAGCATTTTATCATTCATAGGAATACAAAACATGTTAGCTATGTTTAGCTTTTTCATTGACATAAATTTAATTTTGTAAAATAATTTTAGGAAGCTCCAGTTTCATTTTATTTCTCCTAAAGAGTTTTCATAATACAGTACTAATTAGGGAATTAAAAACTATAGTTAAAATTATATCTTGGACAGTGTAGCTCAGAAAAGGCAAATAATGAATCTGTGGCATCTTACTACACTGACAGACAGTGACTACAATGGGGTATGGGTGGGATTTGATAATATGGGTAAATGTAGTAACCACATTGTTTTTTTCATGTGAAACCTTCATAAGAGTGTATATCAATAATACCTCAATATATATATCTTGGAATTTTCCTAAGGAGTTCAAGATACAGAATAACTGAAACCGAAAAAAAGTAACTCTAACAAACAGTGAAGCAGATATATTAATAAGAATGGAAAGCAGTTAAAACATATAAAGCCAAAGAGCTATTATTCAAAATGTAGAATATACCATCATTAAAACATTGTCAAAGAGTCCTTATCTTTTAAGGATATATGCTGAAATAATTAGATGAAATGATATGCCATCTAGGAAAGTGCTTCAAGGTCATTTGGTAGAGGAGTAGAAGAGGCTATGTATGATAAAAGAGACAGGCTGGCCACAAGCTGATCATAGTTGAAGCTGGTTCTTTATGCAGACTTTTCTTTTCTAAATATCTGAAGTTTTCCATAATCAAAAAGTTCTAAAAATTAAGCACACCTCGGAATTACAGAAAACTGCAGCCATTTAAAATGTGTCCTTAAAGACTAAGGATAAAGGTAAATGCATTTTGATACATTGCTAAGTGGAACAAACATTATGAACATCAATCCAGGAGGTATGTATCTAGAGTGTTAACAGCTATTCTCTTAGTGGCAGCAGATTTATATTTTCTCCTTTACACTTTATGGTATTTTCCACATTTTCTACAGTGAGTAACAGCTAGTTATAAAATCAAAGGGAAAAAACTATAATGGTATAAAAAATCAAAATGAAAGCAACCATTACCATTTTCCTCTGACACTGCATATTCAAACAGATTGTTTAGCTTTGGTAAAACTGGCTTTATAACATGTATCTGAAAACAAAAGCAAAAAAACCACATGGAGTGAAAATTTGCCTTTAAAAACTTAAGGGAATTTTCATCTATTTACATAATGGTAGCCCTTCTGTCACCTCCCCACTCTTCCCCCATGTAAACACTTTACAGGAGGTGCCTAGGTCTTCCGGTTTTTACATCATATACCTAGAGCTAATGAATATGATCTGAATATAGTTACAGTAATGTTATATTTATATAGTGAATATTATAAATTAACGTTATATAATCCTCAACTGTCCTGGGAAATACGTAGGCTGATAATACTGATTTACTACAGAGGAAAGAGTACTGAAATATTTTCTCTAGCCACTCAACTTGTTGAAGCCCACACATTTAGAAGTAGGACCAGTTCAAAGTTCAGTTTTTCATACTACTTATATACCTCTGCTACAAAGTCTAATTTATACAGTCTTCAAAATATAGATAAATCAGCATTTCTAAATAAATTGTAGGGGGCCTTACAGAACTACTGATTTGGGAAAACCACAAAAGTTTATTTGAATTCAGAAATGTTTTTCTTTATTCCTCATCCTTGTATCCATCTACATTTAGCACATATGAGGATTCTTTATTTCAGTCCCCAGTGCCTGGTGTGCATTTAGACTGACACCTTGCAGCGACTCCAGATGGTAGGCCCCTTAGTGATCTCTAACTTGCGGACTGGGTAGCCCTACACCAGCAGTTCTCTGAAGGTGGTCCCCAGAGCAGCACAGCGCCACCTGGGAACCTTAAAAATACTCAAATTACCAGGCCCCACCCGAGACCTACTGAATCAGAAACTCTGGGGACCAGACCCAGCAATTTATACTTCAATAAGCCATCTAGGTGATTCTGATGAACGTTAAAGTCTGAGACAAAGTGGACAAGATTAGGTCACTTAAGGGATTCCTCTCAATTAAAAAATTCCATGAATCTACAAAATTAACTCAAAGTCAGTTGATACGATGTTTCAAGTTTCCATTCTCAGGACCAGGTATGCACAGATGTTAAGAATGAAAAGAAAACTTACAAAATTAAAGGGCAATTACTTACTTAACAATTTACCTCAGAATTGTTTTAAGTAACATTTTCCTAAGTGTTTCTTTGGAGATTATTCATAACATTGAGAAATTAAAAACTAACACTTGAGAAGTATATCAAGGGAAGATGAAATAAGACTAAATTATTGAATAATTTATATCAATTGAAAATATACTTTATTTCCTGAGTGTACATTTGCTAAAAAATAAGTAGCCTTGTATTCTATTAGGCTATATTCAAGTGGTCTTTTTGCACTGCTTTTACAGAATGTTTGAAAAAAATAAAAAATGCATCTACATAGGATTTATTAAAATATGAAAACACTTACCTGATTTCCTTCTAGAGTTTCCATAATTAAAAGATAGTTTTCCCAAAATTTTAGAAGCTCATCTTTTTTCTTCTCAGACCACCAAAACAGACTTGGGCCTGATATGGTTTAAAAAAGAAAATTAGTTCTTTCTTTTGCAAATCTTGTTAAGTTTCTCAGTGACAGTCATTATTAAAACTGTACCACTGTTATCAAATCTTGTATTCTCTAATAATGGAGGGTATCAAAGCCTAGACAGGAGGCTTGGGCTAACCAGAATCTCAAAAGATTTTTTTTTTTTAATTAAGATTACTGTTCTGAAGTTCTGGATAAGAATGACAGATCTGAACACATCAACTGCTTTCTCTAAGAACCTCACTCTAACAGCAAAGGATCTTTCAAAGGCAAAACCCCGGAACAATGGAGAAAACGGAAGCAGGCAACAGCAATGAAATTTACAAACTGAAAATCACATTAACATGAAGCAGACTCAAGAAAAGTGAGTATTAGCTGACACAGGGAAAGTCAAGAAAAAAACTGATCTATATGGAAAAATCTCCCCAACCTAAGGAATTAGCAGCAGAAATTATTCTCTAAGTAGAGGTGAAAAGCAAAGCTAAAGAGGATTTTTTCAGTGTGTTTAAGAAACAATCAGATCCCAGAATCCCCTTCGTGTGCTCTAAACAGGAGTAAGAGTGGACTTTATGCTCCGGAGAAGGTAAAATAGGGAGTGTATCTGGACTGAGATGCACCAGACCCGTATGAGGTCAGGGGTGAGCACCACATGGAAATGGGAATTAGTGAACATGTATGAAACCTGGGGACCAAGACCCTGTTTCACCTGCCCCCACTACCATCTTAGCCCTTCAGGTCCCAGAATGCTGACCAGGCCTTCCCTATTCAGCAGGAGAGGGGAAGATCTCCATGAGATCTGCTCCTCCCCACAATACCTAAGTGGGCTACCTGGAGGGGATGGAGAAAAAGCCTGCTTTCCCCACCCAGCACCGACAGGAGGAAACCTTCTAGTGCCCAGAGTCCTGTACTGATACAAAGCAGGTCTGTTGCTGGGGAAGGGCAGCAAACTAGCACCCACGACCTACCTCAGATACAGGTCACAGGCAGCCCCCACAGGAGAGGGCAAGGAAATTCTAAGCCCTTCACTACCTAGGAGGCAGTTTACTTGCCTCTGGAGAGGGAGCAGAGATGGCAAAAAAGCTTGAACCCTGGGGCTTAGGCACACGAGGCCTAAAAGCAGGCTGGCGCAGAGGATGAAAAGTTCCCCACCGCCACCTGAAGCCTGGCACTAGTAACAAACATCAGCGTCTACTCCGAGGGAAAAGACAGGCATGAAGGTAGAACATTGGTACCATCAGCATGAATGGCTTCAGAAAAACTAGAACACTGAGAAAAAATTTTAGGTACGTTCAGATTCACACTGAACACAAGGGAGCAACAATTCACAACTATAGCAACAAAATCCAAATCTAACTTAACTAAACACTAGTGTGACTCAACCTCCAAACCTGAAGGCCTAACAGAAGAGGAGGGATGCCTATCTACAGGCATATTTACTTCAGTTTCTATTGAAAAGGTGACCTCATGGCCAAGAGATAAAACAAAAAACAAAACCGAACTTAAGAGATGGTCCATGGATAGGACTTAACAAAACTATGATTAATATGTTGAAGGATCTAGTGGTAAGGTCAGAATGAACTCCAGGAAACGAAAGGTCCAAGACAGGAGGACTCAGCTGAAGGGAATCCCCAGAATGGTGGTGAAGGCAGATCTAAGAATGTCAGCTGTGTTTTTAGGAGAACTCTAGAAGAGATTTCCTCAAGAAAATCTATAAAATATCTGATGATCCGACTTTATACAGGAATGATTTAGACAACTAGCTAAGAATTTGCAGCTGAATTAGTGATAAATACAGACAGAATCAAATTTTAAAATGATGTAATTCTAGGGAGAACTTGTACGAGGGAAAAAAATCATAGCTCATTACACAGATGTGCCATGAACAGTATTTTCATAGTCATACTTTTACAGATACGCAACTCACATGTAACAAAAATTATAGCTATGACAATGGATTTTATAATATATCTAGATTATTTCAAGACATGGGAGCAAATACTAAAATAATCAGCTAAGAGGTTGCTCTCTGAAATGGAGGAAGGCAGGGGCAAGCATGGAAAGACTCTTACTTACCTTTAAAACTTCAGAATGACTGATTCTTTAAAATACATGTTTAATTTTGGTTATTTTAAAAATGTTTTCCAGTGAAAACCCTCATTGAATGACCACCAATTTGAGAACTACCCCTCTTTACTATCTAATGTTTTAAACTTATATGAAAATCTAATCTACCCACAACTTCAACCAAACAAAAATCCTTTACTAGTAATAAATGAATGGGAAGCTACAGTTGAAAAAGTAGAAATTTTCTATCGATTAAGGTAGTTTTCAGTAAGTCTGTTCTGAACTCTGATAGCTCAAAAATTAATTGAAGACGACTGAAGGACACTTCCACACATTTCAGTGAACAAACCAACCCATAGTAAATACCAAATTGAAGGGAGACTTGCTATTATTCCATCCACTGTTGTTCTGTAACAACGTACCATAGTAGGAAGCACAGGCTCACAACATAATAAAAAATTTTTTAATTAACATTACTTAATATGTAATAAGAAATTATTTAAAATAAAAATATGACTCATTCTATTAAATCAATGGCAAAAATACCCTCAGAAAGTCGACCTAAGGACCATATGTTTAACAAAGTTTAGTAAATCCTGCTCCCGAGGGAATTACCAAAGGTAAACTCAAAAGGTGATGATTCCTATGACATAATTCTAACACAAGATTCAATTCACTGGTCAGTACAGGTAAATAATTTTTCTTTCAATTTGGAAGCTATCCCTTCTCTTCTATTACAATGGAAATATTCTAATCTACGACGATATAATGCAAACTTGGGTCTGTAAAATTCTGCATGGGTCCAGTCATCTTCCTCAATTATTCCACCCTGTTGTGGGTTAGAAAGTTTAGAAAATGCAGACTGTTCTCCGCTGCAGTAATTTGTGTCACTTTAGAGAGCGCCCTCGAAATGAGGTTCTCAAGGTTTTTAGGCCTTGTGGTTCTGGGAATAACAAATTATGTATGGGTCGTGGAGGCGACCCCGAAGTAGTTTTGGGCAGCAGGAATCCTCGTTCCAATAAAACCATGCAGGGCTGGGCTGGGGGACAAAGAGGCAAGTACCATTTCCCTCCGGCGGGCCGCAAGCGCAGTCGGCCCCCAGCTCCGCTGACACCTCCACCGCTCTCTGCAGCAGGTGGCGCGCCTGCTTGCGCGCCAGCGCGTCCTCGGCCTGGGCCAGCCCCGTCTGCACCGTCCTCCAGAAGCGCCAGCAGCGCCGCGCGTCCGGGCACGCCCCGCGCACGCCCGGCACGGGCAGCAACTTCTCGGCTAGGGCGCTCAGCACCAGAAGCCTTGGCCCGATGCGGCCGGGCCCCGAGGGCGTCTCTGACGCCACTAGGCCACCCCACACGGCCCGCAGGGCCGCCCCACCGCATTGGCCCAGCGCCGGCAGCAGCCGCCCGGCCACCAGCGCCGCCGCGTCCTCCGCCGGCCCGGCCGCGTCCCCGCCCAGCGCCAGGGCGACGGCGGCCTGCGCCACCCGATCCAGCAGCGGCCCGTCCTCGCGGAGCCGCAGACAGGGCCCGACGGCCGCCAGCACCTCCACGGCCCCCGCGAGACCGGGCGCGGGCCGCACGGCGAGCAGGTCGCGAAGCGCCTCCTCAGCCAGAGCGGCGGCCAGCTGCGAGCCCCTGGCGAGGCGGACGCACGAGCACAAGGCCGCGCCCGCCGCCCTCAGCACGCGCGGGCTGCGGGTGGCCGGCTGCCCGGAGTCGGGGGCGCCAGCGGGGCGGCCGCGCAGGCCCCGCAGCAGCGGCACCAAATAGCTGGTGGCGACCTCGCGCGCCGCTTCCGGGAGCGCGCCCCCGCCGCCGCCGCGCGCCTCCTCGTCTTCGAGCCGCTGCAGAAGAAAGCGCAGCGTCTCCACGCGCTCCGCGGACGCCTCCCCGCGGCACAGCGTCTCAAGCAGGCCCCGAGGGTCCCGGCTTTGCGAGAGAAGCGCTTCCGTTAGCACCCACTCCATTTGCCGTGCGCGCGCCGCCGACTCCAGGCGCCCAGAGGAAGGGTCCGGCGTGCGCGAGTGCGTGCGCGTGCGCGACGCCCGGGCGCACTCTTGCAGGGAGGTGGCTTACAGGCTACCCGGTGTTGTTCAGAGATCTTTGGATACTTTCCGCCCGCGCTGCCTGGAACCGGATCCCTCTCGCTCCTGTCCCTTAGTGTTTTTAGAGCGTTAATGTAATATCTACATCCTTTCCACTGATTCCCAATTGAAAACTGGCCTGCCCCAGGGCCCTAAATCAGTCAAGGCGTGTCTTTGAGCTTGGGCCGCAGGTACGCAGAGAAGGTATACTCCACAGTCACCTGGAAGCTTGTTTTCAAAAAGGTGCAGGCTGGTACCACCACAAAGAGACCAACATAGTGGGTCTGAAATGGGTTCCGGACATCTGCATACAAAATAGGTAATTAAAACACAATAATGATTAGAGGTCCTGAAAAGTAGTATAGCTATGTACTAGGGCCAATAGCAAGATGCCCGCACCAACACTTAACAGTCAAATGAATGCCCAAGCTGACCAGCATGCAGATCATGCAGATCTTTCCACACAATGCTTGTGCTCTCACATGCAGTCTCAAAAATAGCCCAGGTGTCAGTACTTACTGTATTTCTGACAACATCTACTGCTAAATATAGAAACAAAATCTCTTGTTAACATGCACTGCTCTGGTTTTGTTCCAGGCTCAATCCTAGGCAGACTCAATCAGTGACCGTGGGTTTTCTTTGCCTGCTAATCATAATGATCTCTCCCTAAATTTCCCTAAGAAAACACAATCTCACCTTCAAAGAGCTTAATGTGTAATAGACATAATGGATAAGGTATCATTTAAAGGTATTTCTATTTAAGATTATATAGTTATTTAATTTTTATATTTTGACTTGACATAATTTAGTCATTTAAACTTAAAGTTAACCTACATCACATATGCAAGATTTTTTCCATATTTCAGTCATTCAGTTTTCTGTTGACAGAATGCATAAATTATTCTATTATAAGCCTATTTAGTATGCGTCCATAAATATCGATTGCCTTCAACATATATTCTTCATAGATAAAACAAGGAATGGGAAAGTCTTGAGCAGATACTTAACAAATAAAGATAAGCAAATGGAAGCATCTGAAAAAGTGTTTCAATATCATTCGTCATTACATAAATGGAAATTAAACCCTTGAAGAGATACCACTTCATATCAATTAGAATGGCTAAAATTAAAGATTGAAAACACCAAATGGCAAGGACCAAGGATGTAGAACTCCCACACATTACTGGTGGATGTGTAAATGGCACAATCACTTTGAAAAACCATTTCTAACAAAGTTAAAATATACCTAATCTTCAATTTGGTGATTCCACCCATAGGTATTTGCCTAAAAGAAATGAAAACATATTCTAACAAAAATTCTTGTACAGCAATGTTTTTGGCAACATGAGTCATTCTAACCAAAAGCTTGTAACACTCTAAATGTCCATCACTAGAATAGAGAAATGAATTGTGATCTACTCATATACTGCTGCTCAGCAGTGAGGATGACTTACTAATCCATGCAAAGTGGATAAATCTCAAAAACATGTTGAACAAAAGCCAGAGACAAAAAATTTACATACTGCATGATTTCATTTACATGAAATTCAAGAACAGACAATAGATAATTGGACAAAAATGAGAATCATAGCTTACAGGGAGCAGATGTAGAAACAGGGCCCAGGGAACTGTCAAGGTGATGGAAAGATGGAAATATTCCAGCTTGATTAGATTGTTAATTACACAGGTTTCGCATTTGTCAAAATTCCCTCAATGGAACCCTTAAGATCTATGCCTTTCACTGTGTGTGAGCATCACCTCAATTTTAAAAGATGACTTATTAAAAGAATAGGAAGTTTCCCTAAGTATTTGTTTCCTGTTAACTACCGAATAAAGCATGCACCGAAGGCTTCTCAGGATCTAGTGAAAGCCAACCAGCCTCATAGCCTAACTCCTCCTACCCTTTCCTTTGTTCCCACAACATGTTTGCACTAGTTCTTTTCTCTGCCTGAAGTTCTTTTAATTTCCCACCGATCACCACTTTCCTGGCTCACCAATGTGGGCAGTGGTCTGTTAGTTGCAAAGCTGCCCTTTTTCATCTTTACAGTTACTGTGATGAGGATTCCCTTTCCTTGAAACTCTGTCTTCTCTCTTCCTCCGGTTTCCATCGAACAGCCTTTTTGTTTTTGTCTTTTCCCTACTTTCTCGTCTCTTTGGAGGAAGACTCCTCTTCCTCTTCCTGATCTGTTTGTATCTATAGTTCCAGACTTATATCTCCAGATATCTTTTCTTTTCACTCTATAAATTGTCCATAAATAACTTCATTAAAACTATAGATTTGACTGCCATTTACATGCTAATGATGAAAAAAATCTGTATCTCCAACCCAGATCTCTCTCCTGAGCGCCAAAACTATCTAATTGGCCACCAGATGTCTCTATTTGAATATCACTCAGGGCCTCATTCTCAGTCACTGCTTTTACAAACTCAACCTCATTATCCTTGTTTCCCCACCTTCCTCCCTGATAGAATCCGGACCTGAGTCCCACCTTTTGAAAAAGCCCACCCACCATCTCAGAGACCTCAGTTTCATCTTACCTAGGCTACAAGCATTCTCCAGAGGACACATCAGCAAGCCACAAAAGCTCACCTTTCCCTGACCCCTCCCCTCAAAGAGCCCACCAAGAACCCTGGTGTCTTGCCAATGGGTTTCAGCCCTAGGCAAGTTCACTATGGATTCAGTGTGACCAAAGAAATTGACAGCAAAACATTCTATGGAGTGAAAGGGTTTATTACTGTCTTGCCAATGGGTTTCAGCCCCAGGCAAGTTCACTATGGATTCAATGTGACCAAAGAAATTGACAGCTAAACGTTCTTGGGGTGAAAGGGTTATACTCAACTTTATTTCCAGGTGGCAGGTCAGTCACTTAAATCCCATTCACTCAGAGCAAGTCTGCATGCAGCAAGCCGGTCTCTGCCTCTGGGCCTCTCTGCAGTCATCCCTCACAGCCGTCCTCTGGGCCTCTCTGCACAGTCCTTCCACACAGCCATCTCTGGGTCTCTGTCCTTGGCACTGCCACCACTCCAGCCTCTGCTCTGCTCTCCTGCAGCCTTGCAGTCCTGCCACCGTGTCATGCCCAGAGCACTGGGTGGAGCTCTTTTTGTAGAGTCAACAGTCATGTATTGCCCACAGGTGTGCAGTGAGCTAGTCAACCAAGGCCAGGTGAGAATCCTGGCCACAGGAACTCTCATTTTATCCTCAATCACCCAGCTTGTTCTCCCAGCGGTAGGTAGAGCACTAGCGTCTCTGCCTCTGTCCAGAGTACTGGCCCAAGCTCTTGATATAGTGCAATAATTGCCTAAAGGTATGGAAATAGTAACCTAGCAACAGGCCAATTACATCATCAGGTGGTTTAAGTTCAGTGAGGATCCTGGCCAAAGGAACCCCAACTTCCCCACACCTGGCCATAAAAAGCCTCTTGACCTGTTAGAGACTCTCTTTCCTTTGTTCTGCTGGCCAGGACAGAGGAGTCACTCTCAGGTTCAGCAATAAACCTGCTTGGACTGTTGAGTTCGCATCCCCTCTCACTCCACCATTACTCCCCAGCATACTTTGTCCCAGGTATTTCTTATTTAGGGGAATGGCCTTCATTCACTCAGTTGCTAAGTCAAAAAACCTGGGAGCCAGTAGACTTCCCACTATCTTCCTTGATTCCTACATACAATCACTCTAATCTTCCCACGACACTTTCTTAGTGTCCCCTCCTCTCTTTTGCCCTCCAACCCCTTAGTTTTTGTCTTCTTTCTTACTAAGACAACAGCAATAAGCTCATGCCTGATTCCCTCTCCACTCCAATACACACTCTATAATGCTACCAGGATGATCTTCCTAAATTAAACCATCAGCAAACCATAGTGCTCAGAATAATGTTTGAATTTCTTAGCATGTCATCCAGGATGCCTCATGAGGTGGCCCCTGCCTATGTTTCCAGCCCCATCGTCCTTGCCTCCTATATCCACCCGGATTTTCAAGTCCCTAAAACGCGCCACCTGCTCTCACATAGTCTTTTCAAAAAGCCTTCTGTCTTCTGGAAATCCCCCACCACTACTCCACCTGACTCCTTTTCCTTTCAGGACACAGTACAGATGTCATCTCTCCAGAAAACCCTTTCTTAATACCTCACTCCCACCACAAACACCCCCCACCCCCATCTGAGTTAGGTGACCCCTCATCCAAATTCCCAAAACATCCTGGCATATCACCAATGCAGCACTTGTCACCCTGTGTTGTTGCAGGTTTACTTCTTTATTACCCCCACCCTGAGCAATTTGAGCACTGACAGGGGTTATACACAGTTGTGTCTTTTATCATACTGATCGCAGTACCTGCACCTCTAGCTGTATAATGCTCGAGAAATGCTTACTGAGTGAAGAACCATTACCTACTCCTTGATGAAGACCCAAATTACAAGGCATCTCTGAGGAGCCATTCCAATGCCCCTAATCACACTTGCTTCTACTTTAGTGTTCCCTACACTTTTAATTGTGGTGACAATAATGATGGCTAACAGGCATTTATCATGCTTATTATAGATAAGACATGGTAATATATTTATATATATAAATATGTAAATGTTGTTGCATTTAACCCTCTTAACAAGTCACAGATGAACTGCTATTATTTTTCTCATCTTACAGATAAGAAACCAAGAATGGGAGGTGTTCATTAACTTGTACCAATGTCACACAACAAAAAAGCAGCAGAGATGGCTCAAACCTATGTACTCTGCTACGTTACTTCCCAAACATCAAGAAAGGGTCGTACACAATTACTATGCACCCTTTACCACCTACATCATCCCTGCACTCCCAGTGGCTAGCACACAGCAGGCACTTCAGTAAATTATCATTGTGAATGAATGAATATGTACGTTTCTGCCATGGCTTATGAGCACCTTAAGAATTAGGACTTAGCTTTTAATAATTTTGTATCTACACACCAAACATAGTAACACACACATGGTAGCTACTTGTCTGCCAATGAGTTTCAGCCCCTACCAAGTTCACTAT